ACGAAATCGTAATAACACAAACGCAAATAAATTACAGAACTGGGTGGGCCAGGTGAGTCGTAAAATTAGTAGTGGTTATGCACACTGGCCTGCATTTTCAGGACTCACCTGCCTTGTGTTTGATCCCCACCCGTTTTGTGATTTATAGGAATGAATGGAATGTGAAAGACGTACGTAGACGGACAGAACATATAAGTAAATGGATGCAGTACATTCACACATGGACGCAACACGTACATAAACGGACACATTAACTGATGATTTCAAAATGCAGATTTGGAATTTTTTTTTTCCTGTATTTTCCAGGTGTAAATTATGATAAAAATTTCTCGCCTGCTTCGGGGAATACAGACTTGGGGGGCGGGGAGGTTTCAGGCAGTTTATGACCCTTCTGGTTGTATTTTAGGCTCGTGACTACGTTTTACACGAACATTGCAACAACATATTTGAGTTGACATGTTACATATTACTCCTTTAGAGATGACAGAAAATGTGATTTTCCCCCCATATACCCGCAATGGAAAAAGAAGAAAGGGATTCCAATATATATATATATATATATATATATATATATATATATATATATATATATATATATATATATATATATATATATATATATATATATATATATATAAATATATATATATTGGAATATGGAAATAGTATCCTCATGTTGTTTTCAGCTAAATGAAAAGTGATGTTTAAAAGTGGAAAAAGAGAACAGGGATTTTAGGTATTGTGTGTACTTACCCAAGTTAGAAGAACCAACAGCCGAGTTTGGTGTGTCAAGGTAGAGCCAGGTCAGGCCAGGCCAAACCAGGTCAGGTGAGGCCAGGTGAGGCAGGATCACGGTAGAGGATCGTTATTTGCAACAGCAACACAAGAACCACGGAAATGAACAGTTAATACGGTCAATTTCTGGCCAAAAAATGTCTTCATTTAAAAGTTCAGATCGTGAGGGGTTGGAGGCAGCAGCAGCAGCCACACCAGCCACAGCAGCCACACCACTAGATGATACAAACTGCATCGGAATTAATGTTGAGGTAAGGGAGGCTCGGGAGAGGATACATTAATGTCAGGTCTCGTCTTTTCCTCCCAGCCATATGCGGCCCAATTCTTGCAAAGCACAACGTTACATATTTCTAAGCATCGTCTCTGTTAAGGATACACTTGCTAACCCGCTGCTAGACACTGAGTATCGGGCACACTGTGGTGTTGACTACAGTGATGATGGAACATGCAAATAACTTTCACTAAACACAAGCGGCCTGAGAGGCGCACCTTGCACAGTGTCTTAGCGAGGTAGTGTCTGAGGTGCTTCGTTAAGATAAGATTATATAGTTATCGAGGGTCGAGCAATTAAGATGTTTATGTTGCTGTGAGACCAGCATTGTTATGGATGACCTTGTTGTATCCACTGTTTTGTACACCCACCAGCAACACCACCATCATTACCACCATCACCACCACTAGCACCACCACCAGCACCACCACTAGCACCACCACCAGCACCACCACTAGCACCACCACCATCATCACCACCATCACCATCGTCACCACTATCACCACGACCATCACTACTGTGGAAAATTAAATTTACTTGGATGTAACTTATAAGATACATACCAGTAAATGGTAACAAAGATAATTATTTTTTGTCAAAGTTACAGAGACAAGTAGGAATTTTAGGGCACCTAGGTCGCAAAAAATGTCCCCCTTCGATACCTACCATAATATATCTCTCCACAAGTCACTCTGGACCTATATTAATTTCAAATGAAATATACATTACCAGGAATTATGGTAAACATTAATATAAATATGTGGACTGTATGTTAAAATTAATAAATGATTACATATACACATTTATATAACAGAAGGAGAATTTATAATCATAACACTCACCAATTTGTCTGGAGATTACTGTGTATCTTACCAACCCCCTTGCCTAAATTTATGAAGAAAATACTGGCCAGAATTCCAACATAAATAGACATGACTTAGCTGGGGTTCTTGGAGCTGTCCTGTCCATCTGCTTAATGCTCACGTTATGCAGGACTGCAAATCCAACAATTTTGGCTCCCATTTGAGAGGTTTTAAGCCCAATATAACCCCTAGAGCGACGAAAATTTATGCACATTACACTAACGTGCCTGTATCACATTCAAAAACAACGGCGTCCCCTCCCCTGCTCGTCAGCGCAGGCGCAGAGCTTCCTTGTCGGTTCTCTTCTTTAAAATACACTTTAGAGCAATAGTAATGTATTAATCAGGTATATTTACATTATAAAAAATATACAGCATAATTTTGGGAAATTATTTTCCACAACTACCACCATCACCACCACTATCATCACTATCACCATCATCACAACTATCACCACCACCCTCACCACCACTACCACCACACACCACCACCACCACCACCACCACCACCACCACTACCACCACCACCACCACCACCACCACCCCACTACCACCACCACCACCACTACCACCACCACCACCACTACCACCACCACCACCACTACCACCACCACCACCACCACCACCACCACACCACCACCACCACACCACCACCACTACCACCACCACCACCACCACCACTACCACCACCACCACCACCACCACCACCACACCACTACCACACCACCACCACCACCACCACCACCACCACCAACACACCACCACCACTACCAGAACCACCACCACCACCACTACCACCACCACACCACCACCACTACCAAAACTACAACAACCACCACCACCACCACCACCACCACCACCACCACCACCACACCACCACCACCACCACCACCACCACCACCGCCACCACCACCACCACCACCGCCACCACCACCACCACCACCACCACCACCACCACCAAAACGATCACCATCAAAAAAGTCACCACCATCACTCGCTTTCTCCAGTCTTCCACACACTGCACGTCCCTCAGCTGTGGTTGTGAACCTCAGCATCTTCACAAGTTATCTCACCGTCCTGGTAAGACACACATGCAGCTACTCAACAAAAATGAGATTATATTCGCGTACAAAAATCCTCATTATAAAAACCACGGGCTGGATGGTATTAGAACCCAAAGTTGGTTTGCAATCGTTTTATCACGATTTCGTGAGTCCTCAAAAATGTATAGACACAGAGAGAGATGTATGTCTCTCATTGTATATACACCAAGAATATATTCTAATCATTATTATAAGAAATAATGTTGTGGATTTTTTTACATAATTTCCTAAATGTAGAACATATAAATGAATAAGATAATAATTGAGTAATAAAATATAATGGTGATTTGACCCTTTCAAGAAATTTCGAGTGAGGGGGGTGTAGAAGAGCTGAGGAGTGATGGGGGGGGGAGAGACGCCATATTGAATTTAATGTGTGAACACTGAACCGAGTTGTGCAATATGATCGGGCGTTCTCGAAGGTCACTTGGGTTTTTTCGCCCTATTGAATAATTGGAGCAAGAAATTTGCTAGACCTCAAGAATATGTGTGGATGGCGGAAGATATGGGATGCTACCATCACTCACATGGAAGCGAGCCATTAGTCATTGCATTTAGATCTCTAATTGGCCAGTGTAGGATCTATTTGTTAGGCAGGTGTTGTGGTGTGATCCACCTACAGTAATTAAATGGTAACTGTTAATACAAATTATATTTTGTGTACCCAGCAAACTTAATTGTATATAGTTCACAACTTTAATTTACCAGATTCGCTGGTGTTAATATTATAATTATTAATTTAATGTCAGGTCTAGCTTTTTGTGAGAGTGGTAGAGAGTGGGCATCGAGGGAGTTACAGTTCAGTGACCTGCTGTGACTTAAATCCTACTTACCTCATCCAAATTACTTGCAGGTAATAATTCAGGTAATACCCTGTAAACCTCCTGCAGGTGATTTGCTCACATGATAATAATAATAATAATTTTCACAATAGTATTCTTAACGCCCAGAACATACTTTCTTAATAGCTCTCGTGTAGTTGATAGGCTTCATATCTCTTTAACCAAGCAACACAGCATATTTCTCTTCTTCCAGGTAAAGTTATTCACGGTGTCACTAAGGTAAACAACCTTAAAAGCATAGAATTTCTGACCGTAAACCATTATTTTGATTTCTACCTCAGTGATAACTCTACAAGGAAGATGTTCACATTACGAGGCCAAAATTAACGTTCATTATTGTTTAAAGAACATTGTGTATTTAAATAAGCCTCATATTGAAGAAACGTCAAAACATTAGCTCACTAGGATGATTCGTAGTATATACATTTATCAAAACTTCAATGGCCAGCTCATTCAAAAAGTTTTGTAATATACTAATTAACATGTATTTTTAACGGGGAACTTCTCTCTTTTTTTTTTTTTGCAGGTCATGTAGAGCACAGTTTTTAAAGACTGACAATAAGTCACACTGGCTTTGTTGGGTTTTCGTGTTTTTTTTTGTTTTTTTATTCGCCGGTATTCTCCTGGCCCGGGTCTTTTCCAATAGTGATGCCCCGGCCTTGGCTCCCTATCTCTGTTAATGTACCATAACTCTTCCTCAGAAACGTATGTACCTTTCAGAAGAACTGCACAAATTTATAATACTCTCTGAATAATACTTATAAATTTGTAAAGAAAAATTATTATTATATTTATTATTATTATTATTATTATTATTATTATTATTATTATTATTATTATTATTATTGCTATTATTATAAGGGTGTATAACCTTCATAGCTGATGAACCTATAATGGGATACTTGACAATAACCTCATCACCTTATAGACGTCTCAGGTTGATAGATTTTCCACACCTTGTATAAGCCTCGTCCCGCGTGACGGAATATATCATCCAAACATTATTTTTGTTTCCTTCCCACTGTGTAACTCATTTAGAACAGGTAGCAGCACACTGCTGATGTATCCAATTGTGTTAATGTAAATCTGTAAGCGTGGTTACTGCATGGAGTGCGTCTGCGTGGCGTCTGTTGCATAGCAACCAGCAGACGCGGACCTCTGCTGGACTCCCACACAGCAGACACAGCAGGAGGCGCAACTTGCAAAGAACGTGAGCAACCCGATGAATTGTAAGTAGTGAGAACTGTGATGGTAGTAAAGTTATGGAGGTGTGGGCGTTGATAATATGGGTGTGTGCATTGACAACGTGGGTGTGGGCGTTGATGACATGGGTGTTGACGCGTGAGGTGAGAAAGGGGGCAGTGTGGATTTTATTATTATGATTTATTTTACGAAATTGTATACATCAGCAATGTACTGCTCACCTATTGTATGTGTTACACATTGGGAACAAAAGCTAGCTTAGGGAAAAATTGAACTGCTGTACCAGGAATGTTATGAAGGTGGAACAAACACCCAATTGTTTTAGCTGAAGTTACTCGAAGAGCATGACAAGGTAATCTGACCCCCCCCTCCCCCTGACCTGGAGAGTGACCATCGTGAACTTCTTTGGGACGAAATTGCTAAAGCATCTAGAAACAAGAAGTAGGCTTAATGGGAGAAAATTTAAGTCTCAAACTGATCGAAATAATTTGACAGGATAAACAGAGCCTAGCGACTTCCCTGAAATAGTTCAGGGCTGCTTTTCAAAATAATTTGTGAATAAATGGTATAAAATGCCGACACAGTGGAAAAATAAACTCATAAGCAGTATAATGTGATCCTTTATTAACAACATTTCGCCCACACAGTGGGCTTTATCAAGTCACAAACATCTGTTTGTGACTTGATAAAGTCCACTATGTGGGCGAAACGTTGTCAATAAAGAATCACATTATACTGCTTCTGTGTTTATTTTTTCCAAAACAATTTGGGGTTGACTTAACTAGATAGAGGAAATAACCTGCTGAACTGAGTTCTGGCAAGCAAATATTAAGCTTAATAAAGAACATTAGAAAGTGATCACAGATAACTTAGCTTCAATATCTCATGAAATTACCTTAATAACGATAACAAAGGTAAAGTATCCAGTGTTTCCGTTACATATTATAAGAGTGTGACTGTATGGGGATTGATTATACCTGAGTATTGTTGACTCGGGTAACCTAACTAGGGATTGTCGTGAGGACGGCCAGATAGATGGTGGTGTTGCTTGCCAATATAACATTTTACAGTGTTTTGTACAAGCTGCCCAACTGAATGTATTCCTAACAGAGAATTTCGTCATATATGTATGAACCTAAATGGATAAACGGTAGACTAAAACATCTTTTGAGTAAAAATAGACGTATTTACAAGCGAATCAAAAGAGGTGACGGTCACCTTATTTGAACAAAATATTAAATTTAAGACAGTAGTCAAAAAAAAAAAAAAATAAGGAAGGTCAAAAGAGAATATGAAATTAAGGCTGGGAGGGCATCAAAGACCAATCCTAAGATATTCCCTGAAGTATATAGGAATAAGATCAGGGAAAAAGAGGTCCACTTAACTGTAACTCAGGTCAGTTTACTCTTAGTGACAAACAAATGTGTACCATTTTCAATACTTCATTTATGTTTTTACACAAGAGGATACAAACCAAATCCCTGAAATCAACAATTATACTGAAGATGGAAGACAAACAAGTCATTAGGCTCTGACAAACTTTTTTCATGAATTCTAAAGAAAAGTAATGAGGAACTTAGCAAACCATTAGTCAGTCTCTTAAATATATCACTTCAAACAGGTACTGTATAGGATAAATGAGTAATAGCAAATGTGATACTCATTTACAACAGCAGCAACAACAACAACAACAACAATAATAATAATAATAGTAATAATATCTATATTTCTACAAGTACATGTAGAAGGTATATAGGCCTAACTGATATAACTGACATACTACTATATAGAAAACCTCTTGTTATGCAGAGCATTTCGGGCAAATTAGGTCAGTTTTGTCCCAGGATGCGACCCACACCAGTCGACTTACACTCAGGTACCCATTTTACTGATGAGTGAACATGAACATGGACAGTAGGTGTCTTATGGAAACACGTCCCTTATGCTTTCCAGCAGTACCGGAAGAGATTCGAACCCCGGACCTCAGTGTGTGAGCTGAGTACGTTAGCGATCGAGCTACGGGACAAAGTAGGGGATAGATCCTTAGCTTCGGATTATAGACCAATCAGCATAACCTCAACTGTAGGAAAGTTGCAGGAATCAACAGCTGGTGATACAGATAAATTTACCTTCTGATATATAATTTGATTACCAAATCTCAGCACGGTTTTACGAAGGAGTGTTCTTGTCTTATGAATTTTCTAACTCTTTCACTAAGGTATTCGAGGTGGTAGATCAAGATAAAGAATATCATATTGTGAATATGAATTTCAGAAAGGCCTGTGATGAAGTTCCACACAGGCAATGGTTTAAGAAAGTGGCGGCACATGGTATAGGAGAAGAAATTATTTCCAGAGTGCAGGCATGGATAACCAATATATATATCTATAATATATATATATATATATATATATTATATATATATATATATATATATATATATATATATAATATATATATATATATATATATATATTATATATGTGTGTGTGGTGTGTGTGTGTGTGTGTGTGTGTTGTGTGTGTGTGTGTGTGTGTGTGTGTGTGTGTGTGTGTGTGTGTGTATGTGTGTGTGTGTGTGGTGTGTGTGTGTGTGTGTGTGTGTGTGTGTGTGTGTGTGTGTGTACTCACCTATTTGTGGTTGCAGGGGTCGATCCATAGCTTCCTGGCCCCCGCTCTTCGCTGATTGCTACTAGGTCCTCTCTCTCCCTGCCCCATGAGCTTTATCATACCTCGCCTTAAAACTATGTATGGTTCCCGCCTCCACTACTTCACTTTCTAGGCTATTCCACGGCCTGACTACATTTATGACTGAAAAAATTTCTTCCTAACATCCTTTGATTCACCCTGGTCTTCAACTTTTTTTGGGGACCCCTTGTTTCTGTGCCCCTTCTCGGGAAACTTTCCCTTCTTTGTCCACCTTGCCCTTTTCCCCCCCCCCCCCCGCAGTTTTTTATATGCCCTTAAACATGTCTCCCTGACCCTCCTGTCCCCCAGTGTGTCGGGCCGATTTCCCTAAAACCTTTCTTCTTGGGAAAAACCCTATACTCTGGGACTAGTCTTGTTGAAAAACCCTTTGCACTTTCTCTAATTTCTTGACTTTGCTTAAACTAGGTGGGGTTTCCAAAAACGGTGCTGATCCCCAAATATGGGCCTGCGTAAATGGGTACAGAGTCTTGAACGAATCCTTACTGAGAAAATCGGAACGCTAGCCGTTTTTTTTCCAGGCGCCCTTTTCTGCAGCAGTTTTTCTGATTAGTGTACGCCTCAGGAGATATGCTCGGTGTTAACCACCCCCAGTTTTTTTCCTTTGGGAGTAAAGGTTTTGCAGTTTTTGGCCATCAAAAATTTATATTGTGTCTGCGGCCCTTCTTTCCCCTTCCCCCAATCTTCATGATTTGGGCTTTTGGCGGGGTTTAAACCCCAAGGAGCCAGTTGCTGGACCAGGGTTTAGCCTGTCCAGGTCTCCCTTTTTATCCTGCCTGATCCTCTTTCCATTTGATTCTTCTCATTAAAATTTACCATCTGCAAACAAGGACCTTCTATTTTACCCTTCCGTTATGTCGTTTACAAAATACCAAAAACAGCACAGGTGCTAGGACTGACCCCTGTGGAACCCCGCTTGTCACGGGCGCCCACCTTGACACCTCGTCACGCACCATGACTCGTGTTGCCTCCCTTCAGGTATTCTCTGATCCATTGCAGTGCCTTTTTGTTTTGTGTCCTGTTTCCTCTATTTTTTGCAGAAACCTCTTGTGAAAACTGTGTCAAAGGCCTTCTTGCGCCCAAAAAAAATGCAGTCGATCCCCCCCCTCTCTCTCTTGTCTTATTTCTGTCCCCTTTTGTCAAAAAACTCTAGTAGGTTTGTGACACAGGATTTTCCCCTTCCCTAAAAACCGGGGGTTTGTCTTTATACCTTGTTTCTTTCCATGGCTCCACCACTTTTCCCCTGATGATCTTCTCCTGATTTTGCATCTAAAACGTTAGTGATAAGTCGTTTTTTTGGCCCATTCTGTCCCCCTTTTTTTAAAAATTTGGGATACTTTTTTCCTTTTCCCATACCCCCAGGGATTTCCCCAGTTTCAAAATTTTGTTGAAGATCTTTTTTTAATGGCAACTAGTTTTTCTCCCCTTCTCTTTAAAGGGCCCCCGAGAGATGTTGTCGTCCCCCCCGCCTTTGAGGTGTAAAGTTTCGCAAGCAGCTTCTTCACCCCTCCTTGGTTTATGTACCTCATCCAGATTTTGCTGGGTACCCCCCTGTTCTGATTTCCGGGAGCCCCTACGGGTTTTTTCCACTGTAAATACTTTTTAAATCTCGTGTTGACCCCTGACATCCCTCTCGGTTGTTTCTTGTGAGCTCCCCATCCCCCTTTCCCTCAGTCTGATTACCTGTCCTTACTGCTGTTTTCCCCTGATGTGGCTGTACAACGCTTCGGGTCAGTCTTGATTTTTTCGATGCTATGTCATTTTCATTTGTCGCTGAGCCTCCTTTTTACTGTGCATTTCGTTTCGGGGCTTTCGGCAAATCTCTTTATTTTCCTGATTCTCGTTTTTCTGTCCCCTTTTTCCTTTTTAGTACACCTTTTTTTTGGCCTCCCTACACCTTTGGTGAATAAAGGGGATCTTTCTGTTTTTCCCCATCTTTTTCTGTTTCCCTTGGGAACAAAACCTCTCCTCTCCCCCTTGCATTTTGTTCCCACATAGTCCATCATTTCTTGTACTGGGTTTTTTTGTCATTCCTCTCCCACTGAATGTCTTGAAGGAAGTTTTCCCTTTTGCCTGATAGTTCCCCCTTTTTTAGTTTGGTTTTTTCCCAGCCCTTTTCCCGCTACTCTCCCACTTTTCAGCTCAACTATGTATTCGAACCAAACCCATGATCATTACTCCCCCAGGCCTTTCATACATGACATCCTCGATGCCCGAAGTACTCAAGGTGAATACAAGGTCCAGTCTTGCTGGTTCATCCTCTCCTCTCTCTCTGGTAGTGTCTCTAACACGTTGATGCATGAGGTTTCCAGTACCACATC